TTGCTTTTCGTTACAAATAGTGGCTGCGTCAGCTCAATGATGCTTCGTAACCTAATATCGTAACTACTTTTACACAAATACGGAACATTGTGTGAAAAAATTGGAAACAAGACGGTTTAGTCGAATTTTTCAATGCTTATTGGCATGCAGAACATTTGTCAAAGTTTGTTTTACGTCTACTAAAACTTCGCGAAACATTCAACGCGCTATTGTAACGTAGGATCTCGCTAATGGCGCTGTGTGTTTTTGGTTATAAATAAATGAAAACGACATAGGATTCTCATTTCTTTGACATGAGAATGAGCAAGAAATAACACGTACTTTTACGAATTTGCCAAAAGCACATTTTCCTTTTTATCGCAAATGATATACGCAGAAAATGCATATTCATAATTTCGTTGTCGGATTCAACGAATTCGCGACTAATAACTTAACTAATTAAATGAAAATTTTATTGTTGTCTTTCAAATTTCTTTGAATGTTTTGATTGCAAATTGTTGCACTAGTTCTGTAAAAATTCGAGATAAATTAAATAGGAGATATTCTCTGTTTAAAGAGTACAAAGAGATTTTATACAGCCTCTGCTAGTCTATGCATTAAAAATATTGCAGATGGTATTACACGTTGAACGAAATTCGACTGTTCAAGTTGAGTTTTTCTTGGCACAAAGCCGATTTTAAAGTTCTTTGGAATCCGAACTAAACATATACAGTCATCTTTTACAAGAATTTACGTATGCATGGGCAACATGTCAAAGTTATATTTCTCTTGGTATGCTTTCGCGTAGAATTATGCTTTACTAGTAAGTTTAAGGAAGAGTACAAAGTTAGTAGCAATAGATGATTTGAAAGATCCAAGGATGAACTCGAATTGAAGCTGACGTGGAGCCATCTTTCTCTGAGAAAGAACAGCGTCTCACTTCGGTAAGAGAGAGAGAGAGAGAGAGAGAGAGAGAGAGAGAGAGAGAGAGAGTGTGTGTGTCAGTTTCATATATATTTAATTAATTAAATCGCAATAATAGATCCATTTAAATAGTTCAAAGACATTGCAAATACAATTTATTGATCGAGGCATTTTATCCTTAACACACATACACGATGACAAATTAAGATGTTCTTGAAAATTCTTTATTTTAAAGTTACCCTTTCAATTTCAGATGCTAACATAAACAATAAAGCCGCGAACATAAACTCAGAGAAGCATTAAATGTCATTATTTTTTATATTTTAAAATAAATTATATAATTAACAAAATATTGTATATTCTCAAAAGTAGGACAACTATTTTTTGGCATTTATGTATATCTTGCTCTTTTTTCTTATATTCTAAGTTTCTTTCCAAGTTTCAGACATAAATTGCAGTCGCGAGATCGATATTTTCAACGCGCTCCCGTATTTCTGTATGCATCAAAAATGCGCCAACAAAGATGCATTAATTATATCGTTCGACGAAAAGTCGACCTTTTTTTTTATATAAAAGTGCTGTAGTATATATTATATCTCGAAGATTTTTTGTGTTAAATATAATGCTATTAGCAGAATTTGTGTAACATGTCAGAATTTTAAGAAAAATGGGCCAAAAATAACAATTTTGATTATTTTAAACATTTTTTACGGCAAAGTAAAAGTTTGTTTCTAAATAAAGTCTAAAAGTACAATTTAAGAGCTTTCAAATGAATTTTAGTTTATGATTATACACTTTATTTCAATCAAGTAACTGTTTTAATTTTAGATTTTTTATAATTACACAATTTAACAAAAAGCATTCTTTTTTATCTTTAAAGTGTCATAGTACATATTCCGAAAATTTTTCGCGTTAAATATAATGCCATCGTTAAATTTTGCGTAACAATGGATTTTTTAGTAAAGTGTGTAATATTAAATTGGTGTGGTTATTTAGAAGCAAGTTTTTGTTTTGTCGCAAAAAAAAACTGTTAAAAATCAACAAAAACATCATTTTACCTTAATTTACTAAAAAAGTCTAATATGCTACACAAATTCTGCCAACGAGATCGCGTTCATCACGAAAAAATTCCAGAATTTGTACTATGATATTTTAGGAAGAATTTGTATATTGGACAATATTATTTAAAAGGAAACAACTGTGCGTTTAAATAAATAAATCTTTAATTTGTCGAAAATAACGAACGAATGATGAGTAATCAGTAGGAAGCGATTCTCCAGATAAAGACAATTACGTTGAATTAGGAACAATACCATAATACGTGAGAAGAATCGCATGACATAAACGTGCATTTTGCAATGCTGGAGTATTTCCATGACTGATTATCATGGTACGTGGGTCGTTATCGTGGTTTGCTATGTGACCTTCTGCATTGTTACCAAAATCCACCATCTACAGACATTTGTCGTGTTGTAAGAAATATTTTACGTTTTATCTCCACAAGCAGTTTTTGTAAATCGTAGTTGCTCGTAATTTTATCACGAAACAAATCATTGCGATTATTGAAACATTTTAGGTCTCATTCTCGAGAAATGTTGCATATAAAAATACGAGGAAATCTATATAATATACATAATGTAACTAATATTTTTATACACGATATTCTTCTTGAATATTACCTCTGATCATCAAATAGCAGAAAAAATGTAAACAAAATTAATTGGTGACCAATAAGAAATTATTATCTCTATTTAATACAAAGATTTTTTTATAACATTATAATAAATTAAAATAATTGATGAAACAATCTATAAGTATTGAAAATTAATTATGATAAATGTAGATAATAATTAATAGAAATTAAACAAAGTACAATTTAGAGTTATGCTTTATTAACTATATTAAAATTTTACTGCGTGATTGCGATTTGCCATGTCAACAATAGTGAGTCGCGAAATGATATTGGTATCATCGGAGAGAGAAACAGAGAGAGAGAGAGAGAGAGAAAGAGAGAGAGAGAGAGAGAGAGAGAGAGCTAGTCAATTTATCTGCCATAAATTCAACCATGTAACATAATTACTAAACCTTTGAAGAAAATTAATATGCTATGATCCATCTATATTGAATAATGCAAGAGATATTGAAATTGATAACAAAATCAATTGGATACGTTACACATGGTTCAATTTCTCGTAATGGCATTCTATTATACAGAACGGTTAAAAGCGATGTTATACGCAATCGAATGAAACATGTTATGCGCGTGGCAAAGTGAAATGGAACGACATCATTGATAGACTAATACGTTCACCAATAGAGCGGTAACATCTTAAGTTTTTCTATCCAACTTTGTTGCCTCGTCGATAATTTCATTTCCGCGCCTCTCTGCGGAATTTTCCTGGAATTTAACCACCTTTGATGAAAACATCTCCCGAGCTTAACCGTCTTCCACAACGGGCTTAGCTATTTGTGAGGGAAGTACACGTACAAGCCGATTAGAACGCCCCTGACCCCCTGCCTGTTCCCCGCTATCTCGTCCAACCCCCTTGCGCATCACGCCTTTTGCCAGAGCCGACGTGAATTCCTCGAGAGATTTACTGGGACTCCGGGATCTCCGTGTTTCCTACACTTTCAATTCCGGCGTGCTATGTACCACGAGGTGTAAGGGATTCGGGTCGGCGAAATCGTACACGTCTCAAGCATGTTTGCCGTTAAGAGCCCGCGATTCGTTCAGCGGAATTTCATTTTATCGATGAAATCGAACATCCTCGCGGAGATGCGGTGTGACATGTCGTTTGAGTGGCTCAATGTCTTTACCCGAAAAGCTCTTGAGTCAACTATTCTATTATATCATTGTAAAAAATCGTGGCCTGTACGCTAGATTTAGTATCACGTAAATAGAAAAAGATTAAACTTTATTGCAAAAGTTTTATTCAACTCCTAATTTAAATCACTTAGTTATCTTTGATGGTAAGAGATAGACATTAGGCAGTTTACGAAATTGACTCATTCAATCGACGAGCAAGTGCCGTCGCTAGTTACATAGCTATCTTGGGAGCCAGACAGCGTGGCATTAGATCTTTTTCAACTTTCGAGTAGTTTAGAGAGTCGCTGGTATCGATTCACGATTACTTTACTCGTTTTCCGTCTCGTGGAGTTTCCGCGGAAACTTCCTCAACCAGTAACAACCCGCTATCCACTTTGCGCGTTTCTCGAATCGCTGCATTCTATCTAATCAAGCGACGGATGCGTTTCTTTGCTTTTCACTTTGTAATTTAAATGTGCGAATTCAAGGAATACTAATTACGCGCATAATTAGATAAAAGAATTATGAAACACATTTAATTTTTTATTTAACTCTATGTTATAGTATTGTGGATGCTTCGAATGCTCTCTCTCTCTCTCTCTCTCTCTCTCTCTCTCTCTCTTCTATGCCAAAGGGTTATTGGTGCCTAAAGAATTCCGTAATCGTTATTCCCTGTATGCCTTTAGACCGCCGCGGAATGTCAATTCAGAGCTTTCTCAAAAAGTTCAAACATCTTCGCCTCGTCT